GTGAAGGTTTTTGTTAGCACATTTTAATAGAAGTTTTCTGTTTCTCAGAGCCAAGTTCATAAACATTAGGCAGAAATGTATGCAGTAGAGAGGGAGAAGCTAGAAAAGAAGACGATCAGACATGAGACAGGAAGAATATGAAGAGGGACATGGGAAGAGCTGGGCCCCAGAAATAAACCAGCGAGCAGCAGCGATGTGGACACTTGATGGCACTGTCCTTCCTTATCATACGCCTGGGCATTCCAGAAGTGACTCAACATTTCATGACTGTCAGATACACAAATCACCCTCCCTATCCTCCCCTCTCCAATCTCGCCCAGTGCCACCCTGCCTTGCCCTGCCCACCCTGGTCACTTCGCTCCCCTTTCGAAAGAAACCAGGCTGCCTTGGGGAATGGTGCCAGCTGTGACTGGTGCAGAGAACTATCTATTTACCACTACTTTTCTCTTCCTTCTCTTGGAACAACCTTTATCACTATCCTCTTCCTCCTCTCTCCTCTGTTTCTTCAATAATGATCACAGAGAACCTAATTTGCAAGTTAGAAGGCCAGGATAGAATCCCAGCTCCCCTACTGCCCTATTGGGAAACCAAGAATGAGTCCCAGAACTTCTCTGTCCACATGGGAAGGGATCCATGCCTACCGAGCAGGGCTCTAGGAAGCGGTAGACGTGAACATACGCTAGGGACAGAACAGCACTAAGCAAACAGAAGGCACAGCTCTCACTTTCTTGCCAAATCCCCACTGTAAGATTTAACACTTTGAAAACTGCTCAGCTCAAAGGAATGTGATGACCATCAGGCTCCAAATAAATCACGTCAACAGGTGACTGGCCAGCCTTCCCCGGAAGTAAAAGACAGGATCCCAATTCTAAAGGAGCTCTCTTGTCTGGTGGATTCCCCTCTTTTCAGTGTGAATGCCATGCTCCTGAGGAACTGGCAGAGAGCTCTGTAGGGATACCAACCAACTGCTTTAAGTCACTAACTCTAGCGTAGAGCAGGGAAAGCTACATTCCTGCCCAGAACAGTGACTGTGCCTCCCCAAGCCCTCCCCTGGTCCATGGAAATGCAGCTGTAGGGCCACTGGCAGGCAACAGGCCAGAGCTCCTGAGGCCCTGCTCCACCCCCAAGGGCCATCTCACTGTGATAAAGACCTCAAAAGGGCTAATGAAATTATCTCCTCTGCCTTTTATTCCTCAATAACAACCACAAAATTAGACGAAATGACCCCCTGCTCCTCCAATTTAAGGCCTATTTTATGACCTCCAACCCCAATTCTCTCTTTTAAACGGATATAAGACCCTGAAGACCCACAAGCCAATGGGATTAGTAACTAACAGCTCCCTCCTCCAGGCGGGTTCTCCAGAGGGTGATTCTCCTTCCCCCAGGGTGGGGTCACGATCAGTTCAATCTTCATGCTTCAGAGACAGCCCCTTTGAACAAGATCAGATGTTTCTCCACCCGGGCCTGGTGCTCTGCTCAAAAGAACAGCAGCCCCTTCTCACTCATGGCATTAATGTCAACTCAGCCAGAAAGGCGAAGGCAAAAGGAAAAGGTCAGTATGGTTAATTGTCCACCAGGCTCAGATGCAGGCCCCCTCAAACCAGCACCTTGGGAGGGCTCATCACCCCCATAAAATGTGAAGTGCACTTTGAACCCAAGAACAAGGAGAATGAGGACTATTTACCCTGGCCTGCTGGGCTGCAAGGGGAGCTTGGGCTATTTGTTTTCTTTTCCAGTTTGTGACCAGAAAGGGGAGAAGGACACCCGCAGCAACCCCAGGCAGGCACAGGGCGGGGGGGAAAGGGCAGGGAGGTGAGCACCAGGCGTGGCTGTCAGGAAATAAAAGAGAAAAGAGATAAGCATCAATGGAGGTGGGCTGAAAGGAGCCAGGCAGGGGTCTGTCCAGCTTTGAAAAAGGGATTTGAGAGAATAGGATTCCAGAAGCCTCAGAACCGTGCCATGTAAGAAATGCTTTCAAGAGAAATGGAAACATTTAAAATGCACAGTATTTACTCTTCACCATTAAAAGAGAGTGAAAGGGCTTCCTCTCCTATTTGGGAAAGTTATTTTTATTAACTAGTTACCCGAAGGCCTCCTTCCATCTTGGGTCCGTAATTTTAAGAAGATGCTGAGGAACAGGACACAGCCATTTCTTAATTGGAAGAGGACCGGAGAGTGATCACAACAACAGTCCCTTCATAAAGGAGAAGTCCAAGAGCATCTATTTACAAGCAAGTCATCCTGGAAACTACTTATAAGTTATCTTGAAATCAACAACAAACTCCTACAGTGGATAAGACAAACCAGCCAACAAACCACAGTGGACAAGCCACCTGATCAAAGCACAAAGTGGCTCCTAAATGACGCGTTGACTGTTCCCTGGACATGGAGAAAAAAGCAAACTCCCCCTCCCGCAGCTGTCAATTCCTGGGTGCAGCTTTGCAGTGAAACTTGAAAGCCTATTTTGGAGACTTTGTTTCTTCTTTAAGAAGAAGAAAAGATAAAAGGTTTCACCTGAAAAACAACAACAACAAAAAACCCAGATACCTGAGGGGAGATGGGCCATTTCTTTTCTGTGTTATCTAGAACCACATGCAGTCTGGGTTCCCTGCCATTTCAGCAATAAAGGACAGAGTCAGTCCCCACTCACTAATGACACTGGGGCCTGAGACCAGCAGCACAGTCGCTGTGTCTGCTTGTTGCCTTTGCTCTGATGGCTCCCAAGTGTCTACCCTGGACACAAGGGGCCCAAGCTGGACAGAGTCTTTGGATCAAGGCCAACACTCCAAAATGGCTATATTAAACACACACAGACACACACACAGGCCCTAATATACAAATTCTGCTGAGGCACCAGCAGGCCCATCTTTAGAAACAGTAAACATTCCGTGAAAGAAGAACCACCCCTCCCCCATCCCAAAGTTCAGAAGCTCTAAGAAAATCCAGGAACTGTATCACTTCTTGGGCTACTGAGAATGATGTGGGGTGGTCAAGGTTTGACTACGGAATGCTAGTGAATTGTGTCTGGATGCATACCTCTGTGTGCCTGTGCTGTAAGGAAGAGGACCAGCTCAGGAACTTGATGACCTCACCCACCACATTCGTTTTCTAATTAGATTAGACTTGTATTGTAAACCAGGAGTCGCTCTAAGAATCAGGTATCTCCTAGAAGCTCAATAAGCTGCTAATGCTTACTAACTGGTAAGCACTCCCTATGTATTTGGCAGCGTAAAAACCAGACACACGGCCACCACCTTGCATATGGCCTCCACAGGAATAGTGCAGCACACAACAGGCAATAATATCTCAAATTCCAAAACCTAAAAAGCTAAAACTCACTCATATCTTACCATCTGGGCTTTTAAACTGCAATTAATTTCCTTAATTTATTTTTCAAGTATGCTAGACAAACTGGCTTCCATGGAGACTGCAAATTCCTGGGCAAAGCTCAAGTCCTCACTCTACCCAAGCCTTAGGAAATTTTAAGAACATGAAAAGGGTCAGCTGAGATTCAGACTTCTTGGGCTGCCTTGTCTTTCACTAAATTCTCGCACGCAGCTGTGTATCTGGGGCTCAGCACCAGGTAAAAGAAACCACAGCTATGTGACTGCTTTTACGTGTGACTCATCGGCCAGGACCTCTACTAGGAATGCAGAAACCAGAAGAAGACTCCTTTCTCTTTGCTTCAGCGCTCCACACACCTCACCGGAATAGCTGGAAAGGCCAAACAATGAGTAGTGTGTTCATGGGGAGGCAGGAGAGGAAGGGAAGAGCAAAGACTCAAAACCATATTCTCCTATGTGAAGACCCAGGTCCCATGCTGGTTTCAATACTCAGTGAACCACCAGCCTGGGGGCTGCTACTCCCAATACCCAGGGTGAAACAAAACAGCATCAAGCCAATCAGCCCACATCTCAAAGAACCCATCATGCGGAGAAGTTTGGGAAAGACAGAGATGCAATGACTTAAAAGGTTTTTGCTAACCTTAGTTAAACCTCAACTGTGTTTTAAGAGCAATTGCTCAAATCACTCAGAAATATTTTTATTTCCTCTTGGTTGTAAACTGGGCAAGTCTCTTGTTTGCTCCCTTACCGCCTACACATTTGGACACATGTTCAGTGCTGGGACTGACCAGGGCTCCCGGGGTCTAGCTGACAATGGTCTCTCCCAAGGCAGCCAGGAGGGCTGGCTGCTCATGGTCACAGGCTGTCAGTTAGCACATCAGTGCTCCATGACCTAGCTCCACTTACTATTCCATAGAAAGACGATGACATGAAAACGCCTTTTCATTGGGGGAGGAATCTAAACTCCTATTGACTTATTATGGTAAATTCTCAATTATACATGGTCATATGAGCAAAGAGGCACTCTACAAATCATTTAATTGGCTTAGAAATACATTATGATGTTTTTGTCACCAAGAATGTTTTCTTCATCAAACATATTTATTCATTTATTGAAAGTCTGCTCCATGCCAGGAAACGGGCTAGGTGGGAGATGGCAGCAAAGGAACTCACAGACTACAGGAAGAAGTTGTGCACGAACAAATACATCCAGCTCACACGGGGAGCGAGAGTGCTGTGTGAGCGGACAGGCTGTGATTGGTTCTGCCGTAAAGCTGAGAGGAAAGGCTAGGCTCCAAAAAGCCTCTCGCTGAAACAGTCTGATCAATAACATATGATATTTGGGCTGGGTCTTAAATGAGGAAAAATAATTCTAAAGGACCAAACTCCCATGGACTGCAGAAGGGAGCCCCACTCAAAGCAAAAAATGTTGGTAATGAGAAGGCCAGCAATGCCCAGGAGAAAGCCAGCCAAGTAAACACCTTCGCCCTGCAATTCCCCACAGGGGCAGGGGACCACTCACACCTTTCTTACAGGAAGTGTCACCCTACATACAGGATTTTCTTTTTAATGAATGAGAACTCTGGGTGGTTATCAAAGCACATCATCAGGGCCAGAGTTTGCCTACAACCCACCTGAGCACGAGCAGGTCCTTACCTGTGTGAGTGCTCTGTAACAAGAGGCAAAACCATAGGCCAGCTGTGAATTCAAGAGTCTGCTTCCCCGCTGACCTGAAAAACAATAAGAAAGGGCCATTTTGGTTAATCTGGAACAAGCAGTCTTTTAATGCGCTCAGGAAAGGCCTGCAGACCACACCTAGGCTCCTTGGTCTCAAAGCAGAAAGTCTGGCCAGGAAGGGGGGTTGGGTCAGGGAACCCTGGGTTAGAATCCCAGTGCTGGAACTCAGTGACAGGGTAAACTCAGTGACAGGGTAATTCTAAGCCAGGTAGGTACTTAACCTACCTTTGCCTCAGTTTCTTCCCCTGCAGTACCCTTCTCACTGAAGCACCATGCCATGCCCAGAGTCACATGACTGAGCATGTGATGGGTTGGCTGCCCTCTGGGAGCTTACAATCCAGAGAGACAGAGACAGAAACAGCGAGTAATCAGGACCCTGATGCAGCTGATAAGAGGCAAGTTAGAAAAAAAGGTGATGTGAAGCCTTTACAGAAGTACTAGCTGGTCCCGGAAGGGTCAAAGGGAGCTCACCCGAGCAGTGACGGCCAAGCTGAGGTCTGACAAGCAGGAGTTGGCCAGACTAAGAGGACAGGCAAATAGCCTGTCTGGCAGAGGCACCAGCCAAGTTGGATGCTCTTGAAGCAGGAAGAATAGAGTGAACTCTCCCAAGAAAGAGGTTAATGAGCACTGGAGTATTCCAGAGGCCAAGAGGAAGACTGGCAAGACATGAAACTGTGAAGGAAGGGAATCACAAAAGGCCCTGCAGCCATTTTAGGAGAGTCTGGACTTTACCTTAAGGCCAATGGCAAGACTATGAAGGGTCTTACAGAGGAGAGAAGCATGGTCCGGGAACACCACAGAAAAGAAGGTATTAAAGGAGGCCATGGGAGTCCCACTGATTGAGAGTCCCCTGAATGCCACCTCCCTGGCCTGTGTGCAGAGGACTGAGAGAGAAGGCTCCAAGCTGGGGTCCCCCTGGCACTCCAGGCAACCATGGCTTCCCCATTACTGGCTCCTCCAGCACGGGGCCATTCCCCAGAGGCAGACACCCCACTGGGAGTGGAGCCTGCCTGTCCCAACACACCCTCCAGAAGGTCAAGGCGTGCCTGGTGTTCCTGTGGTTCTCAAAGTGTCCCCCCAGACTAGCAGCATCAGCATCAACTGGGAATGTGTTAGAAATCCAGATTCTCAGCCCACCCTAGACCTAGCAACTCAGAATCTCTGAGGGTAGGGCCCAGCCATGTGTGTTATTAAAAGCCCTCCAGGTGATCCAGATGCTCTAAATGGGGGGCAGCGCTGGGAGTGGGGTTGGGGAGGGTGCAGAGTACAGAAGAGCTGGCCTGGCCTATTACCTATGGTGTCCATTTTTGTTCACACGAAAATACCCGTCCTTGTTGATGCTCAGAACTCCTCCTAGCCCTGCAGATTGATGGGTAGAGAGCCCAGGGCCCACCACTGCAGGAGGATTTCATTTCCCCAAGAAACATTTATCTTTATTTCTTTAAAGATTTTTTATTTTTAAGTAATCTCTGCACCCAGTGTGAGGCTCAAACTCACGACTCCAAGATCAAGACCCGCATGCTCTTCCAACTGAGCCAGCCAGGCACCCTCCATCCATTCATTTTTAAATACTGAATGCTTCGCAGATTTGTCTGTCATCCTTGCTACAGGGCCATGCTTATCTCTGTATTGTTCCAACTTTATTTTACTTTTTATTTTTTTTTTTAAGATTTTATTTATTTGAGAGAGAAAAGAGAGAGAGTGAGAGAGAACACAAGCAGGGAGGAGAGGGAAAAGCAGGCTCCCCCCCTCTGTAGGGAGCCCAATGCGGGGCTCAATCCTAGGACCCTGGGATCATGACCTGAGCGGAAGGCAGATGCTTAACCGACTGAGCCACCCAGGCACCCCTGTGTGATTCCAATTTTAGTGTATGAGCCACCAAAGCAAGCACACACTTCTCCTCTCAGACAATACTTTTCCTCCAACCTAGATATAAAATCTGACTACTCGAGAAAAGAAACAGGCCATCCAGAAAGCTCCACGTGATTTTTATGAGAGGGTCAAGTTTCTTCCTGGAGTGTGGAGCACCCTCTGTGGTTACAGAGATGCTAAGGCCCAGGAGCTGTCAAGTCATTTGGGGTTGAGAATAGCTCGCTTCAGCTGCCTCTCTCTTTGAATATCTGTCTTCTTTCTCTAAGCAAGAAAAAATTACCCCCCCCCCAAAAAAAGCATATTTCTGTAAAGAGCAGGCAAAACCTCACATTATTTCTATAGTTCTCACTTGTCTTTACAAAAGGGGGAAAATGGGGTCCAAAATATAAAAACAGTATTCAGATCAACACAGACCACGGTGACACAATGCACACCCCAACCACTTCCAGACTTGACTCAGCTTCCAGAGTATTGCTCTCTTGGCCATGCCACAGCGAGGTTGGCCAAGCTGCAGGATCTCCTAGCAGGTCCACAAACCCACGTAGACCAGGGGCACAAGCAGGGCTGCAGAAATCCCTAGCACCCTCCCTAGACTGCACCCCAAACCTGCAAAGTCTCCCCACCAGCTCTGGGCATGTGAGGTCCACACCTTCTAGAGGCCTCTATATGGCCCTCATGGCTTATCCACCCCGCACTGCGCACCTCACTACCCACAAGAGAGACAACGACTGCTCTGCCTCTCCAGACTGTCGGTTCCCTGAGGGGCTCAGTAAGCTTGTGCTGCATAAATGACTGAACATGGACACTCACCTAGAATAAGAATGTCAGGCCTGGATTCACCACCTTACCTTCTCTAGCCCCAACAGGTAAAATGACTTGTCCAAGGTCACAGAGCAAGCTCATAGTCACACCACCGGGTGGAGGGTGGGGCAGGAAGAGATGGTTCTCAGTGTTGTACAACAGTCACAGGCTGTGTGTTCCCACCTCTCCTGGGTACAGCAAACCAGTACCCCTTGAAGACAAAGGTATTTTATTTGTAATAGAACAGATTCGTTTTCTGTGTGTTTTATCTCAAGACCCTGCCCAGGAACATGAAGGAACACCTTGTGAATCTTAGAATTAGGAGCACTAAGCTCAATCAAAAGACGGGGGGGGGGGGGGGGGGGGGAGCAAGGGGGGGGGGGGGGGGGGGGGGGGGAGGGAACAGCCATCAGTGAAGGTGTGGGTTAGTCTTCAAAAAAATTTCCAGACGTCTGGTCCCTGGGATGTACTTCTTGATCACTTCCCTATCTGTTCAGTCTTACTCAGCCAGCAGGGGCAAATGTAATCTCCCAAACCATCATCATACTATTCTGAAAACACACTATACCATTCAAACAGGCTTTGGCTTCGGTAATAGGATGTCCAAGTTCAGAGTTCAGCCAAGGGCTTTGCAGATAAGACAGAGAAAGCAGGCACTAACACACACTTTCTAAGTGGCACGGCCTCTCAGAAGAGTCAAGCCCTTCTCAGAAGGGACAAGGAAGAAAGCCCCTACGCAGAGGAAGTTCTCTCCTACTGGCCAAGTTCACCTGTTAAGCAGGTACAGAACCTGAATCATCTCCCCAGCTTTTCTCTCAAAATTAAACAGACTTATAAAAAAGAGCAAAATAATCCCAAGTACAATTATGATGTTTAATCTTAATTTTCTTAAATAAATCACCCGGCTTTTCATCACAACTCGTCAAGTGTATGTGAAATATGCCACACACATCATCAAGGCTCTCTGAGTCCCCGTAACACAGCATGTGTGTGTGTACACGTGCACATACATACACACACAAAGTGAACGAGAACCAGTTCTGCCCACTGCGCTCCCAGCTCACTGTGGCCACTGGTGAGCGGCCCCATATACCTCCCCACATACCCGCTGCCTCTAGCCATCCCCTGCGGCACTGCTCTCCTCGTCCAGGCCCCACACTTCACCCCATCAAGTCAGAGTCCACTCTCTAGCCAACTGCTTTTGAGAAGCATTTTATGAAATTATTCTTATGAAGGTACAAATAAGAAATGTGTTCCCTGTTCTATAGATGCTTATGTGTTGAAGAAGAGGTTTAAAGAGAAGTGTTTCACCCAAATTTCTCTAGTGATAAAATTTTAGGCACAAAAGTTAAGTGAATTCCAAATTATTTTTTTAATTTTTAATAGACTAGCTTATGACTTCCACTCAGCAGTTCCTGGGGACTTTGATGCTGTCATACATAATTGCAGGCATAGCAGGAATCTTCATCTCAGTGACCATCGTTAACACCCCGATAAGGATGTTCCTGACAGATTACAGGTGTTCCTGTCAGGAAATCACTAATAATTAAGTGTGGTTCAAATAACCACACATCTCTGGCATGAAGCCTGCTTCTAATGCAGTTTCTGATGGAAATGTAACACTCTGAGAATCACCAGGGAAGAACCCTTTCTCCACCCCTCCAATCCCATCACAGCAACCATTTCCTACTTCACCCACTTCATAAACTGACTTGGTCTCCCGGGTGAGGCTGAGATGAACCCTGCATTTGTAGACAGGGAGGTCAATGTCAATATAATGATATGGAAAGCCCAACTCCTCAATCTGTCAATTTACCTGGATCAGAACCAAACTGGTCTGTGGAGGATGAGGGGCCCTTCCTCATCCATTTCTAGTCAGCATTTACTTAGAAAGGGGACACTATTATCCCCAGCTGTCTGTCTAAACCAAAGTGGGAGAGGGTTTGGGAAAAGTCAGCTGCAGGACATTCCTTAGACTTCTCCACAGAGGTCCAAAGCTTAGAGCCTAGTATTTCCAAGAAGGCCCAAAAGTGTTTAATAGTCAGTGTCTATAAAACCTTCCTAAAAATAACAGCCTCACAGAACTGATGTCTTATGTTGTTGAAAAAGGGCTCTCTCATTTGGTCCCTTCCAAGATAAGGGCCTCTCTGTAAAAATGAAAGCATGTGTCAAGATAAAAATTGAAGTGATTCCATGGGACAGAAACTAGTACCCAAGAGGCCAAGAAAAGAACATGTAAGGGTGTCCCTCAGACATGGTCAACATCACAGGCTCAGGAGGATGGGTTTCTAAATAAATGTTTCTTATAAAGTCAAAACCT